ATCTTCTGCTCAAAATCTGAGAGCGATAAAGAAAAAGGGAAAGGGAAGGAGAGAACCTTTGATGACTCAGGCAGCCCTTACACTGACTGATCCCAGAAGATTCCCAGTGGGCACTAGGAATTTGCTGCATTCATAAACTTTACCACAGAGTGCAGTAGGGGGAGGAAACTTCCTATAAAGGGAAAGATAGTAAATGTTTTACATTTGTTGAAACTCCTAACTCTGCCACTACAGAAGGAATGTAGCCACAGACCATTTGTCATCACTCATACCAGTTACTAGCCATATTTTGGTAACATGCTGTAGCCACTGGAATGTAAAGTTCATAAAATTTTCCTATCATGAAATAATATTCTGATTTGTAAGCCATTTAAAAGTGTAAAAACCATTCCCAGCTCTCTGGGACATACAGGGTAGGCTTCGGGTCAGGTGTGACCCGTGAGGCAGACTGCTGACCACGGGGCTACTCTGGCAAGGTCATCAGGCTCACACTTCAGGGCCATCCGCTCCAGTCTGATTTGTGCAGGGGCTTCTTTCTTTTCTGCTGTTGTAGGAACATTAAAAGAGACATATATAAAGAGAAAAGTTTCTACCCTGTCTGGAAGGTAGTTTTTTTAGGTTTATTTCTTAAACACTTAAGAAGGTTTTACAAGCTGAGATGAGAGGTTATAACATATTTTCAAATGCTCTTCTTTTTAAGTTGTTTTGAGGCCTACTACTATTACCTAATTAAAAAAAAAACCCAGAAATTTAAAGGCTGTACATTTCACTTTTTAATAAACCACATGGCAAAAACAATACTTTAATAAATGTATAGGAAATTACAATTTGAAAACTGTAAATACAGTACATATACATATACCATACCTTGATCTTAAATTAGGACAGACCCAAGCTTCAAAAATCTTTCTAAAATCGGTCATATGCAAAATATCTAGTTTTCTGAAAGGGCATATGGAAAAGTATATACAATTTCTCAAATTGTGATATGGCTTACATAGTAATACAGACTTACAGAAGCATAAGCTTTCCAAATACACAGTCTTCCAGGTACGAAGCTGACATATTGGCACATTTCAATTGTGTTGCAGTGTTTCAGAATCTGCTTACTTGCACTATTTAAATGGACACTGTCATAGACTTACCTGGGAAAGTCTCCATAAATGTTTTCCAATCTTACCTAAAATTATAAATGTTTGTGGTCCTCACAGTATGATTGGAAGAACATGTTAAATAAACCCTTTGTATATAAGAATTTAATAACTGGCTGGGTTGAGTGTATACACACAATTCAATAATAAGAGATTTCCATAATTGCTTCTAATTCGTGTGTTCCTTATTAACATCACAAAAAATATCCCTGACTGGTAAGATCTGTAAAAGTCTGAAGCCCTGTCTCATGGGATTCACACAGATCTGTAGTTAGGGTTTGCAAATGGCATTTTGGTTAGAGAGATACTAAGTTTAATCAATTATTTAGAGATCAGAATCTCCTCCACTCAACACAGGATAGAGGTAGGCATCACTAATCATTTGTGGCTAATACCAACTGGCTCATGAGCTAAATAAACTTGGTTCAAAGACAAATTGAACCAAAGGAATGAATCCTACATCTAGGAACACATTCTCTTAACTTTAAATTTACTACATATAGAGTCAACAACAAAATTGTCTAAGAATTTATTCCAAAGGGGCTCAAATTCTCTAAGAACACCTTGTTCATTATGGTGAAATAATAAATAAAAGAAAATAAATTTAGCTAATTGTGTTGTTTACAGAGAATGATTATCTTTTTACAAGTAGTGAGTAGTTTTTGAAAGGAACATAACCCATAGTCTTTCAGTAGTGATATTCTCCCATGTTTGCATAATATGGTCTAGTTATGTCTGTCACACTCACAGAATATTCTGTAAAATTCAGTGTGCAGAGATCAGGATCAGGAACACTCAGTTATTAATAAAAAGGCTCTTTCCCACCAGAAACTCATTTAAAAGTGGTGCTTTGTCCTGAAAGTTGGTAGGAAAGAAAACAACTTTCAGGACAAAGCACCACTTTTAAATGATTTTCTTTCCTACTTTAAAATGAAAGGGAAGCTCATGTATCTACTGCTGCCTTTGTCTATTCTGGGAAAATTTAGTAAAGACAAACACCGACAGGAAGGACACCTGGGTCCAAGACACAGAACCAGAGCACTGACTCCAGAGAGGAAGAGACTTAGTTTTAGAAAATGGAAACAAAGCACATTAAGTTGAAAAGAAAGCAGTAAAATAAGAAATCCAGTGACTTGGCAAACAATACTGATGGGAACTGTTAGGTCGTAAAAATCTGCACTCATATTACATAAGGCATAGCTAATGGAAAATGTAGGAATTACAGTCGTTTCTAGTGCTGCATTTCACAGCCTTTGAAATAAGCCTTACTCAACTACATTCCCCACTTTATACTCTCTAAGGCAGCATGGTTGTGAATGAGACAAAAGATGTTTTCCTAAAGTAAATCAAAAGGCTGCTTCTGGTCAGCATTTTGAAACAGGTTAATGTACGAAAGTAACTGATTACTTGCAAATGTTAATTAAAATACATTGCACCAAAGAACTACCCAGTTTTTGTTGTCTGTTGTCCCATTGTGGTGTTTTCCCAGTGCAAAATTGGCAACGCTGTGGCTTATCCAAATTTAGCCACTACTTTTCACAAGGCCACAGAGAGAGCTTTCTCTGAGGGTTGGCAGAGCTCAGCAGATGGAAGGCTAAACTATGTTCTATCTCAGAAGCTGTGGAACCGCTGGTCCCAGACAGGCTTCTCTGTGGATTTTGTCAAGTTACTAGTAAATCAATTCTCAAGTCTCTGACCTAGTAAAATAAAAGTACAAAATCTGTAGCTCTTGCTACAAAACATAGAAGCACAGGAAATTTCAGGTGTACCTCATATGAACAGAGAATAACTGAGATCTACACACATTTTCAGTGTTTTTGCATTTTACAAAAGGTTCCTTGATAATCATCATATAGGCTATCATATAGGCTATTTTTATCAAATAACTTTTTAAGAAACAGGTTGATATGAAAAGTCAGATATACAAGGTAAATGATATATATAAGGTAAATGAAAGTTTATAATAAGCTATGTCGATATGGGAAACAACTAAAGATAGGGGGAAATCTATGAGTCTACAGCAGATTCTTTACATTTCTTCATAGATATCCCAAATCTATAAATGATCAGATGTTCACAGAAATGCTTCTCATTTAAGTTGCTTTCTACATTTAAGAGTATTTTGATAAACAGTTTTTTATATGCTCCTGAAATTTTTGAGTCAAATCATTATTTTAAATGGATTCAAATAAGATCCCATAAACTTTTCATTTCAGTTCAGCAAACAATTACTGGTTTTATTAGGTAACATTACTGCTTATCAACGGTTTTTATTAGATACCATTGTTTCTAATAATCTTTAGGTAAATCCAGGTTGACTTAGTGAGGGATTAGTGGAAAGGTGAAATGTTTACTGTTCATTTGTAAATTATCTGTATGCTTACCTTGGATTTCCATTCATAACTCATATAGTACATTATTAGTCTACTCTGATTCTCTAAAGAGCACAAGAACCATGTTCTTTTTGGTATAACAATTTGTCTCTCTTGAAGAGGAACTACTAATGTACATAAAGATAATCTCAAAACCAATAGTTGCAATATGTAACATGAATATACAAAGCTGCCTCTTTAACACAACTGTTACCAATTAAGTTGCCTTTGGTTTGGAAACTTTTATGCTTAGCCTCCCTGCTATATGGGTTTAATGTCCATCTATTCCAGTGCTCTAAAACACACACACACACACACACTCTCTCTCTTTCTCTCAAAAACCCTGAAACTTTGTTTTCTTAAAGTACTAGCTTCCCAGAATCTCTTTGGGCATTTCTGCTATGGTATTATTGGAAACCTCATAATTATAGCTTAGGGTTTCTAGAGTCCATGGAGAACCCCTAACTCATATCAAACAGAAATTCTTTCTGGAGGAATGTGGTTAATGAACATGAGAGGGCGGTGGGTATTACAAACTGATTCTTAGTCCCTCCGGAGTTTTACTCAGAAAGGCACACACAAATTAACTGCTATGGCGGCAGGAAGCAAGGTACCAAGCAAACTTTCTGTATAAAATGTAAGGCAGTTCTTGAAAGGACAGAGGATCACTACATTTTTGCAATTTCCTGCCTTTCATAAGTAAATACCATTCCATGAACAATAAAAGTGATTTCAGGAAGACTTAAACCTAAAACAACATACTCCATCTTCACTGCTTGGTTTTAAATCATCACATAGAAAATTAATTTTAAGATTAACTTCTGCCATTCAGAATACTACTGAAAATATTTCCTAAATAATTTAATAACAGTGACCACAGTATGTAAAGATTTGGTTTTCATAAGACTACAAACAGCCAAAAACGTTAACTTTGAGATTCAAAACCCTGTAACATCTGGAAAAAATTGTTTATAAAGTATATCTATAAGACTCATTTGTGGAAGATAACATTTCTGAAACACTTAGGAACACATGCTTATTCCACTCACTGAATGTTTACTAGTACTTTCTGAAATCTGTTGAGAAATTATTTCTGTAAAAAGAGTTGGGTGTCAAATTCTAGAAGCTGGGTGTCCAAGAGTACATAATAATAATAAAAAAAAATCAGTTTTCTAGCACTGGCTTGCTATAAAGTGATCCTTAAGGAATTTTAGATGCAAATATGCAAATACTGAATTCTTGATGCTTCCTTTAAGACATGCACTCTCTCATAATGGTTGCATGGTGATACTGGATTGTCTTCTATGAGGTATCTGTAGAGTCATGTCTCATTCTGTAAACAGTGTTTTGGAAACATCTTCATCTGAAAATCATAGTGAAGTCTTATTTGTCCATTAAACAAAAACTTGCACTGTCAGGCTGGAGGGACTGGAGACACCAGTGCTTATATGGACACAGGTATCAAGTATTCCATTTCCTCATTTAGATTTGCATTTATTGCTCTCATGTCTATGACTTCAGGATAAATAAGGCAGTAGTCCCCAATATACATAAAATTAGGAACGGGAACTTTGACAGTTTGCACAAGTTCTTTCCATTTCTTGCCTGTAACTCTGAAGCTGAATAGTACATTTATACATGCCAAACGTGTTCAATAATAAATGCTTTGCTTTGGATTGTACTTCCTCCCATTTGGATGAACTTCCAGGAACTGCAATGTCAAGAAAACATCATTACTATTCATTGTACAGAGTTACATTCTAGTTAATGAGACATAGAGGAAATCAACCATAATAAACTGTGAACATTTCATTTTTATCAAGAATACCTCCTTGAAGGTATTCTGTTAGACAAGTTATGTCAGTTTACAAAGTCAGAATAGCTTCTCATCATTCCAATCTTTCTAGTCTACTATCAGGCAGAGAAATAATATTAGAAAAATTTAATTCTTTCATCTAATAAACCAGACACATGTATTTTTTATAAAAAATAAAATAGGGCCCTCCTAGGTGATGTAACGGGTTAGGACACAACACTGTAAGCTAGCTGCAGCTAATTCAGTGCAAGTTCCATCCCCTACCCCAGAGGTGATCCACATGGCGGTGGCAGACCTCTCCTGCCCCGCCCACTGCTCCCCTCAGCAGTGTATTTCAGTACATCTGCCTGTTCTGCTCCCCACTCTGTCTCTGGAGAATCCTCTCACCACCCCTGCATCTCTGGCTTGTACCCCATTTTTGTATGCATAAATAAATCTTTAAGAAAAATAAAAAATAAAATAAAAAGCATCAATCTATGAAAAAATTCACAAAATAAAAAGTCTAGGTTTTCTTGTATAGCAAAAGCATGGTAATATACTTAATGACTCTAATTGGGAGGCAAAAATCAATTTGTAATGCCTCATCATCTCAGAGAGATCAAAAATTATTGCTCTGCTATCAATAGTGACCTGCAACTTACCTTCTGAAGAGCCTCACCCTTTCCTTAAAAAAATCTTCCCAGCAGTGAAGTCTCCCACGTAATTCTAAGCACAGATGTTTAATTCCAAAGATAGAAGTCCACCAACCCCAGCATTTATTGTCAACAACATACTTAGCTGTATGTGTACTATGGCAGTAGGTTTTCCTGAAGTGAGAGACCAGATATTTAAATTTTCCACTGAATATACATCTTCTATTTTCATCAAGGTTTCTTTGATATAGTCGACATTCAAATGGCTTGGCACACCTATTGTTTAAAATACATAAAAAAAGGAACATCCAATTATGATAAAACTACTGTTCAGAACTTATATTTAATGCTTATATATTATACCAGCAAGGCAGGGATGTTGAAAACAATAGCATTAAGCACAAATACATATATAAAATAAAGCAAAGCAGTAAGTTAAGTGGGAATTAATAAACCACTAGACATAATTGCCTTAAGAACCAAAGAGTTGCAGTTGTCCCAGATATATAGTTTATTTGCAACATGACCTCAATCAAGTTCTGTTATCCCTCTGAGCATCAATTTTCTTAGTTGGTAAATGGGAATAAACAGTCTACCTTAACTGCTTTCTTTGCTATTACAAGCTCAAACTGGTAATAGATGGGAGAGTGCATTATTTCTAATGTTAAATACATATAGGCTAATATTACTATAGCCATGAAAGTATAAGTAAAAACAAAGGAAAAGAAAAACGGGGGGGGGGGAAGGGAGGGAAATGCATGGGACTATGGAAACCCGCGGGGATTACAATTGAGATGGAAAAAAAATGTGCAAAATGATGTAAAAATAAACTTTTTAATAAAAAAAAAAAACAAAGGAAAAGACATGGCTCCTACCCTAGAGTATGCCCCTTTGTCTTCACCCTCAATTTGATTTAGGGAAGTAATAAACTTGCAATGGGGAAATGCATGAAATCTTACCTTCTAGTATTATAACTACTGTGTCCCATATGATGCGAAATGTTGTAAAAGCCACAAGTAATGAAAATACGTATGTACAGATGGGATCAGCAATCTTGTATTCTGGCTGAAAGGTGACAGATGAAAATTGTGTGATTAAATATAGACAGACATAAAACAGTTTATAAAGCAAGGCATATTTTGTCCTCTATTCTTTCACTTGTTTTAGCAGGGTTAGAGGACAGTTTTAGAACTTGAATATTGCAATGGTGAAATATTTTCACTTTTTCCTACAATTTTTACATGCCTTTCCTCATCGGACCCATTTATAGATGCACAACTTTTCATTCTATTTTTTTTATCCTGTATCTTCTCTAAATCTTCCACTCTGTGATTTAACCATGAAATACCAGAGATAGACAAAAGTTTAGCTATTATCCACCTAGTCTTTGTCTCTTATATCAAAGAGAAGGGATCTCAAATTTAGAGTTGAAGGATTTGCTCAAAGAATAAGCATTACTGACAGACAGACAGGAACCCAAATCTTTGGATTTCTAATCCAGTGCACATTCCACTATGTAGTTATAGGTATTGGAAGCCTTAAGTTGTAAGGCTTAAAGATGAGTTTTCCAGTGAAGGTGCTACCCAAGCCAGTTACACCTTACCCCATATGGATATATGATTATGTTTAGTGTTAGCACAAAAACTATACTGGCGACTCAATTAAGCGTGCATAAATGCAAAATAAATAGGACTGGCACTGGTGTCATATATACTGATAAAAGACAATCACTTTTACTTTAGTGTCATGTATATTCATACTGGTTTTTAATGATGCATATCTCAAACTTGTATACTGTTATAAAGCAGTGTTATTTCAATACAATCATCTTTAGTTTTAATGCTGAGATTAAATATATTTTAAACTAGAAAAATGAACAATCACATTACCTTGAACCTTATGATGTATGCAGCTATTAGCACACCAACACTCTGTACCAAATCCCCCAAGGCATGTACAAATGCTGCTCTCACTGCCAGGCTATCTTGCACATGGTTGTGTTCACATCCAGAACCCATGGTAGGAGAACTTGAAGGCAGTGAGTGAGAATGGGCGTGATGGTGACCAGACTGGTTCAACAGAAACCCCATTCTGTTAAAAATAAAACATTGTTATCCTTCCTACTGGTATTGATAAAAATATTTGTTACTAGTGAAAACACTAAGAAGGCAACGAGGAACTAATTCATTTAGTAAATATTTAAGCACCTATTATGCAGCAGATAGTCTTTCAGGTATTTGGTCAAAACAGTAAATAAGACAGCTCATTCACTGGGAATGTCCCTCTCATGCATAGAGAGAAACAAATGCATACATAAAGTACTGTAGGGCACATAAATGCATTGAAGAAAAGTAAAGCATGCAAAAGAATGGAAAGTGATGGGGAAGCGGTCAGTCAGTCCCTCAGATTCCACCTGAGCAAGACTTGAGTGGAATCAGGAAGTAAGTGGTGGTGAAAGAGTGTTGTTCTAGACAGAAGGAATAGGTCAAAGGCCCTGAGTTAAAAATATGTTTTATGTGCTTAAAATAAGCAAGAGAGTCTGTGGCTAAAAATAAAATGAACAAGAGCGTTAGGATATGAATTAGAGGGATAAACAGGATCTTATTAAACAGGACACTGTAAGGATTTTTTATTTTATTCAAATTACAGCCACTAGGTTAGGGATTAGACCACTCTATAGACCGTATTTGGCCCATTGCCAACTTTTGTAAATAAAGTTTTATTGGAATACAGTTATGTTCATTTGTTTACATACTGTTGTGTCTGCTTTCATTCTATTAACAGAACAGTTGGTAAGCTGCGAAAGAGACTGCATGGGTCTCAAAGCCTAAAATATTACCTGGCCCTTTACAGAAAAAATTTGTTGGACCCTGGTCCAAATGAATAAGTATAGACCTTAAAAATTGGTAATTTCTAGGGAAAAAGTTGTTAGTTAAAAAAAAAGCTAACATAAAAATGTTGCTGAAGTTAGAAAGAAACTGTCCTAGCTAAATTCCAGACTTTAATAAGCTTCAGTAGACCTGAGGAAACTAATGAGTAATTTATAAACACAAGTATATTACTGATAAAAGAAAAATTAATGTAACATAATTTAAGAGTGTAACTGCACGTTTTTAAGTTCTTACTACTTGAAAATACTGATGTGAAAATAATATAAAATGTGTAATGCTAATGGTAGGACACATGTCATAAATTTGTGCAAACTCACAGAATGTACAACAGCAAGAGTAGAGTGAACCCTAATAAAACTATGGACTCAGCATGATAATGTATCGTTGTAGGCTCATCAGTTGAAACAACTGTACCACTTTGGTGGGCGATATTGATAGTGGTGAGGCTATTCATGTGGGAGGGGAGGGAATACTAGGGAAATCTGTTAAATTTTGCTGTGAAAATTGTTCTAAAAAGTAGTCTCCTGTCCCGCCTGCTGCCCCCCTCCATGTATTCAGTATATCTGCCTTTTCTACTACCCACTGTCTATGGAGAAATCTCTCAACTGCTGCACCTCTGGCCTGTACCCCAGTTCTCATATGCACAAATAAATAAATCCTTAAAAAATATTTTTGAAAACAGTGCTTACATTATGTTAACTGCAACTCCAACTGCTGCAGTAATCAGCATTATATCTCCATTTATTTCATATTTCATATGAATAGTTCTCTGGACAGCTTCATACAGGAGGAATCCCATAAGTATATACACCAACAGCACACTAATCATAGCCGACAAAACCTCTGGAGAAAAAAACAACAACAAATATATTCACAGCATGGCTGTTACACTTCACGCAAACCGAATATTGTCCAATCTTCTATCTATATCTCCTTTCCTTTATTTTGTTATATTATTTTTCTTATTTGAAAAATGTTTGATAGTTGGACTGATATAAATCTTCTACTACATAACTCCCATCATTCTTCCCCACCCACATTTTAGTGTCAAACTATGTATATTTACAGGGAGTTTTAAAAAAAGAAAGAATCCTTGTAACAAGCACAATGACATTGTAACATAAATGATTTTAAAATATACTTAAAAATCAGCTACAAAGTGAACAACTCATAAGAAAAATGGGTGAAAACACATACAGTATTAAATAGAAAATAAAAAGAAATGGCCAATTTCTCACAATCAATTTCAATATAATCAAAATGAAGATAATATTCCTTTCTGTCCCTTACTACACTGGCAAAAGTTAAAAAGGTTGATAATAGTCATAATTAGCAAGGCTATAATACTGGTGGAATTATCAAATATAACTACCATTCTTTGGAGAGCAATGCACATATTTCTCAATTCTAGGAATCTAATGGAAACGCATCCGTATGTATACAGTGATTTCAATAAGATATATCTGTATTATGAAAAGGTATGGAAAGCTCTGAAATGTCAATCAACAGAAAAAATATATATGGAAAACAATACAGCTATTTGTATTTTAAAAGTAAAACAAAGATCAGGCAATAACAAGAAAGAGGTGCTACATCTTGCAGTTGGGGCTAGGAGTGAGGGTAACAATTTTCTAATTGATTTTTATAGGCTATGTTTTTAAGTTTTTACAACAAAAATGTATACCTTTAAAGAAAACCACATTTTTAAGGCGTGCACATATTCTACGTGCATTTCGACCCAGGAATTCCTTTTCTGGGTGTACTGTACACACTCAGAGCAACTGAGTTATACATGAACAAAATGAGGCATGTTATGAGGCTATCCCTCAAGCATTATATATAATTATAATATATAATATAATATTATATGTTGTAATTATATAACATTATATATAGGGCAAACAATTGGAAACAATAAAAAATGTGATTAGTAGGGACCCTGTAACATGGAATACTTTTTAAGAAAGTTAGGTGAAATTAAGCATTTATATATCAGTATATGTAACACGTTGCCATTTATATGAAAGAAAAACGAGTATATAAATAATGATCTTTACGTGTAATCTCTAGAAAGACACAAAATACTGATAAAAACTGGTTAGGAGAAGAATAGGTAGCTGGGAGAAAGGATGAAAAATTTTTACAAGGATCATCTACATGAATTTTCTACCAAGTGACTATAATTTTCTACTAAGTGTAACTATATATTAGAAATAATTTTATATATTTTCAAAATAACAAAAAGTAGGGCAATGTAAAGTACAAATAAGAGTAATTAACATTATATAAACTGAGTATTGACACTTAAAACAATAAAATCAAGAAAAATTTTTAAAAGAAAACTTTCTCTTGGGACAACAGACTTTAATCCTGTTGACTATTTAAAAAAAAAACAAAACTGTTATCTGGGACAGCTCCTTGTTCAAAGGTCCCAGGAAGTATACTGGACTTTGATATATCTTGTTACAGCTTATAAATTACAACTGCTAGAAAAAGTATCTAGTGTCCTGAAAACATCTCATTTATGTAGCTAGTATGCCAATAAGATCCTGTGCATCAGATGCTGGAATAAGACCAAAAAATATGTAATTCCTGTTCTTGACATATTAATCATCATACTTTGAAAGAGAAATTGGGCTGAAGAGGAGAGAAAAGATCAAGTGAAATACAAAACTATGCAGAAACATCCATTATCAAGCACATGCTCTTGATAATGTTCCCTCGTAAGACCAAGTCTTATTCCATGTGATATACACCATAACACTTAGTAGAGTGGCTGGTATGTAGCAGGTACTCAGATTTTTATGGATGAGTTTGTAGAATGAAGTTAGCTGACAGTTGAGCTATGGAAGCCAATAAAAGACTCTACATTAAGAAGGTGAAGCTAAATATGATTAATAAATCATTTAGTACTGGTATTTCATTTAGTTTTACTTCCTATTACATTGATATCTAACTATACTGAACATTGGTTTTAATTTATTGTTTGTATGCCTTTTAAGTAAACTGTTGTTGTTTCTACCTAATTTAATGACTATTTTTAATTGTGAAATTCTAGTAGACACTCATACATACTATGTTGTTTAAAGAATATTGTATTGTGAATATTTTCTCCTCTCTAGCTTGAGTTTCTATTTCATCATAATTATGTCTTTCAATTTTGATTACATTTATATTTTTATTTTAAACAAAGTAAACATAAATAAGGAAGAAATAATTTTTTAAAATGTGAATTTTACTACTCAAAGCCTCTTCCTTTTTTGCACAAAGAAAGGTAACTTTAATCATGTGTCAAGATTGAAACTAGTCATTAGGCTACCATCATTTTTAATAAAGGTACCTTAATCATTTTACATATGAACTACTAAAGCAATACTTTTTACATTTATAAAGACTCATAGCTAAATAAGTAAAGAACATAGACTTGATTTCTTAGGAAAATTTAAAACCAGTAATTTTGAATTCTTTCAAAACCCACTCTAATTAGTTGACCTTACTTTCCAGTTTTCCCAGGACAGTCCTATTTGTACCTGCTTCCTAGCACAAATATTATTCCTTTGCCCCATTTCATTTTAAAAAGTGTCTTGGCTTGGATATTTAGTCTGCCAGCCCAGATACTCATGCCCAGTAAAATTTTCATTTCAGATAAACATGGGTAATTTGTAAATGTACATCCCATGCAGTATTTCAGACATATGAGGTGTCCTGTAATTGTGTCTGCAGCATGTGTATCCACACATGCTAAATCTGGCAACCCCACATTGCAGTGATTATTTTCCTAAACACTTTGAAATTGCCTTTTTGTGAATTCTCAAATAAGGTAAAATCACATTCAAAATAAAGCAAAATGGGAAGCCAAACAAAACTGAAATTCCTTAGGCTGGAGGAGTCCCACCTTCAGAAGGCCTACTGTGGCCCTGAAGCCAGCAGCTGAAAAATCAGTTTTCCACATCACAGTTTTCACCCACTTGAGCAGCATAAAAAGCATCAGATGCCTGCCCTCACTTAAGAGCACTGCGGTACAGCTAGATAGTTTTCAAATCAAACATTAGGACATTGGTATCAATGACATCCTTTTTCCAGTAATTAATAAGGAATGTGTTTCATGTTTAGTTTCCATGGTGAAAAACAAAGAATTTTTTTTTAAAAAAAGATTTATTTATTCATACAGAACTGGGGTATAGGCCAGAGATGTGGAGGGTGAGAGGATTCACCAGAGACAGACCAGGGAGCAGAACAGGCAGATCAAGAAAGTACACTACTGTGGGGAGCAGCGGGCGGGTCAGGAGAGGTCTGCCAAGCCATGTGGTCACCTCCGGGGCAGGCAGGGATCGAACTCATGCAGAAGCAGCTTTAGCTTCTTAGTGCTGTGCTTTAACCCGCTGCGGCACGAGGGAGGGCCCAAAACAAAGAATTTTTAAATATTTTTTTATTCTAGTTACCTATAAAATGTCTTTGATAGCTGCAAATGTATATTTCTAGAACTGAGATTTATAATTAAGAAGTGTAAGGCACAGAATACTACAGAGTTTAAAAATTCTAATACACTAGTAATGTGATCATTTATTCTGATAAAATCAACAAAAAGCTCTCTCACTGTGAATAAATTAAACTTTGGTGAAATATGGACTAATTAGGACTGAATAGGACCTGGAAATCAATAGAAATAGAACCTGAATACCTATAAATCAACAAAAATCAGTATATAGTTTTTTTCATAGTTTTTTTAATGTGAAGGAATGCAGATAAGTATAGGCAAGATGTCTGCACCACACAACATCTGAGAGAGAGGGAAGTTCTCAATCAACAACCAAATTATGACCTTGGGTTGGTATCCAGCCACATGTATACAATAAAATTTTTCAAGAAAAAAATGAGAGCATAACATTAAGGAGTTGAAACGCTAGATAGATTTCTGTGAAAGTTACATTGTCCTGTTAAAGTTAGGTGAAAAGTCTAAATGCATATTTACCATAAATGAAAAATTCTTCAGAGATTTTAATGGAAATTACAGAAAGACCTATTATAATAGTACTTCTAACATTTTGCTATTTTACAAATTAAATCACTCCACCTGGCTGACTGTAGCAACATTCTCATCACATTATCTTATATACCTTTAGAGCACTTATTAAAAATTATGATTATAAGTGTGTTATACACATATTTACTGCCTCTCTCCCTACCCTATACTACTGAATACATCATTTACTTACTCAACAGGTAACTATAGAGCACCTATTCAGTGATGGAGTAGCAATGTCCTTTACTGTGTAAACAACACCCAATCCAAGTCTGCTACTTTCATGACTGTTGCTTAGAAGTACCGGGTTGCCAAAACTGTTAGCTTTGCCAGTGCTATGATACCAGTAATGAGGTTATGTCACTTAAATTACAGAACACTTGTCTTTCTATTCCTTCTACTGCCTCAAAGAACTATGTATAGTTCTAAAGATAGGTTTCACAAGTCTATAAAAATGAACAAGGAGAGCGGAGATAGACTCTCCTACTTTTTTTTATTTACCTTCTCTTTTCTACCAAATTCTTCCAATTGGAGAGTAGAGATTCCAATTTGGAAGAAGGTAGAAAAGAAGTAGAAGTAAAATCAGTGGATTTGCTTAGAACTTCCAAACTAGTATTTGTTTTTCATCTCAGCACAAGACAACCACATTTCACTAAAGCTAAAGATACCACGTAAGATTCTCAGGAACTGTTGTTGCCACTAGAATGCCATGCTAAACTGCACAGTCTGTCTTTGCATCCTCTCTCTACCTATTCTAAATCATCTCTTACTTCCTACCTTGTAATCACTCACTCTGCCCCATACCCACACCGCCTAATAC